TTTAACCAGTATTTAACACAATTTGTCATATAGATAGTACAGAGAGGTAATCTTCCACATTCACCAAGAGCAAAATAGCTTGTTGTATTTTGTGACAAGTTACAATATTGTTTACAGAATTTAACTTGTACAGATTCAATCTTATCAACATAATTATGACCCCAGATTTCTGACGCATAACACAGTATAGGTTTTACCATTGAATCAAAAATTTTGAACATATCAATAGGATCAATGTGACCAAATTGTCTTTGAAAATTGAATATACAAGCAGAAGCTTTTAGTCCTTGTAGTGCAAGCATCTCTTGTGTTTTGGACCATACTAACTTTGGTGTGAAAAATACACCTAAATATTTGTAAAATGGAACAACTTCAATAGGTTCATTATTAAACAACCATTTTTCAGTTTGTTTCAAAACACCGCCATTTCAGGCTTTTTTTTGCCTTGTTGATCTTTATTTGTGTTTTTTTTTTACTTGCATCTGAATAGAGTATGTATCTGTATCTTGTTTTCTTAGTTTAAAAGACATCACTCTTTACATAAAGAAGACAAGAAAATATCTGTCTCGGAAAAGATATAGTACCGTATGTTTTGCTCTCACGTCACGGAATATTGAATTTGTTGAAGGCAAATTTATCGACAGGGTTTCTTACAATATGAGTGCTTTGGTTAACCCTTTTTTAATCGGAATTTGAACATGTACACAATATTGATAAGCTAATTATAAAACTTTTGGATTGGCAACATACCTAAAAGATCAGCCAACAATAGTACCAATGTGAAGTGATATGTTACTAGTATGTAAGATTTTTGGCAAATACTCACGGTTAACATATAACTTTGAATTTTAAATAACCCGCGTCTTCAGTGCAGTAGATGTTCATCTTATATCTTATTTAGTATCCATTTTTTTGTCATTCAAATTCAAACCAAAACGTTTGCCAGACAAAACAAACTCTCTGGAAGAGGCGTCAGAAAAGCAGGACCCGTTTAATTCTGCGTTATTGAGAAGCGACTAAATGGGTTCGAATTATCGGAGTGCATGCATCTCTTAGTGGTTTTGACTCCTGGTGTTGCTCTTATTTTGTACATTTGGCTAAAATCGTAGATCCTTATTCGGCGCCATATGACCTAAAGACTGTGTTAGACAGATGCTTTAGCATTTTTGAGATTTAGATGAATAGATTTTTAGAAAAAATACCCCCCCCCTCCAACACACACACACAAGGGCAACCTCATAGCTGTTGAAGTTGGTCATTGTGCCAAAGTGTAAGTGCTGATGCCTAGTGGTATATTGTTGTACACCATTTTATGTTGTTGTTCTGATTTCTTATTTTGCAATTTCTCGTGACATGAAATTATCTGGTTTCTTTTTTCATAAAAATAAACAAAAACCAACTACTAGTATTTACTGCCAAAAAATAGATTCTTTAATTTAAAATTCGATCGATTTCATATTCCATTCACTTGAAAATGTTTGTTACTACCGGGTAAAAACATTTATTATTTTTTATTAAGTTTTAAACCTGTACAAATTAAGTTTTATACATAATCTTATGATTGATTCTCAAAAGTCATAGTACTACAGGTACCTGAAATATATCTTCGTACACGTAAAATAAGGAGCACATTTGTTTGAAAAAAAAGCTATTTTGTAAACTATTTATCTTTGAATTATTTTGATTACGCAATCTAGATTTAAACCAACAAACTTCAATGAATTGTAGATAAAAATCTGATCTGATCAACATCTGATAAACATCTAATCTGTCTAGTTTGCAGACGCCGATAACTTGCAACAACTCTATATGATCACTATAAAAATATGCTTGACGTATGCTATTGAGAAAGACCTGGGTTTAATCCTCCACAACAAACTTAGCATATCATCATTTACATCAATTCTTTTCAAACAACTGATTGATGCTCTGTTCCTTTGAAATGCCATTTAGCAATTTTAATTAAATCGCAACAGTGAATTTATTAAATAGCTTAAAACATTACGCAGATGTATTTCCTTATCTTATTTCTCAAAAGTTATCAATATGACTTCAAATTAATTTTGCTTTTTTCATCTAGCGGAAACAATTTTTGATTCGTATGTTAAACAACAGTTATCTAATGTTGAATATTAAGTACATTAGATTTGTTTCAGAAGATTTATAACGAAAGTTTTTTCATTGACAAATCACTGAAGCACTGAAATCATACAAGGGACAGATAGCATTTAAGCCATTGTAAGTGTATGATATTTGAACAAATGATATTTGAACAAACTCGTTAAAGATATTTAAAAAAGTAGTGGTATTGTTTAGTTTTTACTATTAACATTAAACGATGCTAATTTCAAGAAATAATTGAATATATACCAATGTATTAATAAGACAATATTAAGCGTCTTGATGGGCATGTGCCCCACTGAATATTGTTAGCTAGATAATATAAATACCATTGTTAATTTAAATAAAAGTAATAACAAACTTTATACAATGCTTTAACTTAAATGGTTTCTGTTTGAGTTATATGCATTTCGGCCAGACTCTATCAAGCAAAGTCTTTGCATTTATTTATTTATTTTTTGTTTGTTTTGGGTTTTACGTCACATCGACACAGTATAGGTCATATCGCAACGTTCCAGCTTTACTGGTGGAGGAAGACCTCAGGTGCCCTTCCGTGCATTATTTCAGGCACGAACGGGTACCTGAGTAGAACCACCGACGTTCCGTAAGCTAGCTGGATAGCTTCCTCACATGAAAGAATCCAAAGTCCCTGTCGGGATTCGAACTCACAGAGGTGAGGGGCAAGTGGTTTGAAGTCAACGCCCTTAACCACTCGGCCACGGACGCCCCATTTATTTATTTATATATTTGTTGTTATTATAAGTTATTGTTTCAGCTGCTTACGAGCAATCCTTCTTATGGTTTCATGTTTTCAAAAGTACTATACAGGTTTAATTTGAACGTTTCATCATATTTACGCTTCCATCAAGTTATTTTTTGCCGCCAATAAATGTCTGATTTCTTACTTTTGTTGATTGTTCAGTGCATGCACCTGTGCTAAGTGAACGTGAAAAATCTCTCGTAAGCACTTTTAGGTTTAAGAAGATCCTTTGTTTTCCTTTTTTCCTTTTTTAAAATAATCACAATTTCCAGAATATACCCGTAAAAGTATATCTTCCAATAATGTGATTTTATAAACTTGTACCAACTTTAAACAATCAACCTTTTAGGAACCCTTATTTCTACGAATTGTGAAGATTTTACATAATCGTCCAGTGTCATATTCATTCAATTTATACATGTAATAGACTTAAGCGTGATCTTCGATTATGACGGATGTTTTCTTATGAAGTAGACATAAACCATAATTTATTTTCAGTCCGTTTTTTTAAAGTTTAGAAATAAACCATTCGGAAATTCCTAAAATAATTATTATCCTAATAGATTGCATCAAATGATTGTCCAGACAAGCAAAACTGAAGTCGCAAAGAAGTAGAACAATATTTCAGACTTAGGTCAATATCCGCGTTCACGATTGCCATCATTAAAATTGACTATAATATCTGGTTACGTGTATCAACATCACCGAATGAGCGAATAGGTAAGGTTGTTAAAGTTTTCCCCTCACTGCAGGACAACTTATATCATTTCATTCTAGCAGCTAGCACACGGAACGTCGCTGATTCCATGAACAAAAAAGCAAGAAATGGACCTGAAGATATCCGTCCACCAGTAAAGTTGCAGTGTTGGTGTTGTTTTAAATCATGCATAACATATAAAGGTTTGAGTATCATGTGGAATAAAGCAAAAGAAAACAAAATATTATATCATCTGAAAAGAAAATAGTTCTTAAATGTTTGAAAAAGTAAGAAAGATCAAACAAGGCAAATGTAACGTACACAGCATGAAACCCCCGACATATCCAAAGCCACATCTTCAAAATTCCAAGTAGGGCACCAAACTTAAATGAACCAAAAGGGTGAACGAGGACATGATTAAGTGAAGGATGAACCAGTCATTGTACAAAATGACAAAGCAATAAGGGTAATTACGAATAATTAGATTTGCAGCATTGAATTGTGTTTTCAGGAATTTATAGAACAAGAAAGAAGAAAAAGGTACAGGGAGAGAAGGATTTATGTGGCAAGGGTTGCATTATAATAATTATTTTGAATCGAAATAATTCCCTTTTGTGCTAAACCATTTTGTAAGTCGTAAATTAATTGAAAGTTAAATTCAGCGATCAGTGAATGTCTGACGGCAAAGTGAATTAAGTGAAAGATACAACGTAACAAGAAGCCTACTATTTCGCAAAATGTAAGAGCTGTGTTTTTTTAATATAAATTGTGTTTTATTCTCGTCCAAGTTTGAAGGAAAGTAAAATGTTTATCCTAACTTTTATGTGTCCCTTATTTTCAGGAAACACACTTTGATCACGTCAGATCTTCTATTCCTTTTGGAACACCTAAGAATGATTGTTTTACGTATTCACAATACCCAAAGGTCTGTAATAATGTGTAGAATATGATAAGGAAAGGCGGCGTTCAATGAACGCACCCCAACACCACACATTAAAGGTCATTTAATTTTTATCTGTATTTATACGGAGAAGAGCCCAGACCAATGAAATAAACATTGTTTAAAACGTCATTATATTTTTGGAAAAAAAAACATATATTTAAAAGGCAATGTTTTGGGAAAAGTTTATTTTCAACATGTGATAGATATGTCACTTACTTGTTGATTAGATAACTAGAAAAATAAAATTCCCTGTATATAAACACACCACGAAATATTATTCACTACATAAGTATTCAGTGTATATTTTAACTGCTATATTTTCCTAAAAAGGTCCTAGTTAGAAATATAAATGTTTTCAACAAAGAATTTAAACTAGTTCGTCTAATATTCCATGTTTTTAACCTTTGCCCAACTCATTAGTTGCTAATTCTTAAGATCATAATTTCCTAAATATTCTTCATGCAAATATGTTTTGATTTCTGATTCGTTTGATGAAAATTGTTGTTTTAATTAGTCCTTATTATATATCTAATGACTATTCCGTAGATGGTTCTAGTAAAGGTGAAACACAAATATCATAAATAAATAGCCAAACTGATCAGCAGCTATGTTGTCATGTTTTGCCACACATAGGTTGAACCGTCGACGTTAAAATAGCTTTATCAAATATACTCTGAATAGTTCGTGATTGATGTAGTCCCGTTAGTTTTCATGTTTTATCTATTTACAAATCACCAGTTGGAAAATGCTCATCTTTCCTGTAAGATGTATAGTTTTTATGAAAGAAGTAAAATATGTTCAATATAAATGGATTATCCAAATAAATTGACCAATTGATTTAAATATTTCTTCTGATCTTCATTTCAGTTTCCTTTAGAGAGTAATAATGTCCCCAGCATGTGTACCAATTTATGCCTAGACCAAACTCAGTATCCGCTCCGTCTAGGTATAATCCATTTAGATTCGACCTATGGCATGCTTTGTGCCACCAAGCTCCACCATATGTTACTGCACAGTTTGTGTTATAATTGTCGTTATCACTGTCTATAGTTGTAAACTGGCAATCGTTCTGATGCGACATTGAGTCACCACAGGAGCCGTTATACCCTGCGACTATCAATCGGTATTTATCATTTTCGTCATTAATTCTGAAGGTCGAATATTCAGCAAAAGCAGACACTGGATCAACATTGTCATTCATAAATGTCTCAAGGTATATATGTAGTGAACTACTGCTTCTTGTTAGATAGTAAATACTTTCTAAGCCAAGCCAATATTCGCCAGTTCTGTTTCCGAATCCACGTTTGTATTCTTCCCAATTTCTATAGAAATCTTCAGATCCGTCTTGTCGACGTTGTATAACCGTCCAGCCACCATTGGTCATATCACACCATGCATCAGTGATATTAGAACTTACATCTGGCTTGATCACATACAACCCGTTTTCGGTATATCCTTGTTGAAAAAGAGCTAGGCAGTCAATCGGCTCTGGTTGTTTGTGTATTCCTTTTACTTTTTGACCGCCTTCCTGTAAAAAGGCATTGAAATATAATATATTCAAGATATATTCGCATCAAATGTTAAAATAACATTAATTGATATATTTTTACCACATCATCAAATTGTGTTTTTCGTTCGTTATTTTTGCATCATCTAAATAGGAATATTTTCATATTTTACAGTACATTGATGATATAAGAAGAATTAAACAGATTTATATTCACCTAAATGTATATTTTTTCATCAATCATAATTAGCTGAATATGAGTTTTGGATTATAAAATCAACTGATGTCATAGATGTTGCTAGATGAAGTTAATTTAATTTTTTCCTTATCACGTGGAGCAACGAAATTAAAGAAACGTTAGGTGCAATTACTGATTTCTTACAAAAATGTTAAATAGGACTAAACGATTTCATTTACTTATTCTCAACATTATTGAGTTATATTTTATCTTCTCTTCTATTGTGTTTTGTTTTAATAATAAACTCCGTTAAGCGCAAATCATATAACCTTGATACACTGTAACGATAAATGGAGTAACGTGACCTATAGTAGGTTAACATACCCACTGTCCACATTTAATATTGCTACAAACTTGTAGTCAACAATAGTATGGTTCTTTACTAGCAAAAAGTCATAAATTACTCATAGAAGAGACACAGAAAGAAGTGAATAAAACTTTAAACATATATAATAGTACATTTTATACACGAAAACATGACATTTCTTTATAAGAATTCCTGTAAAAGTTAAATATCAACAATGTTACACTAATAAATTCAAATAAAAACATTTTATCTTTAGAAAGAATCAGATGATCCTAACCTACAAAGTTATTAAAAATGTGCATAGCAATAAAATTTATTCAGAATCTTTCCTAAAAATAGAATACATAAAGACTACTAATAAGCATGAAACTTGCAGTGTCTGCAGTATCTAACAGTGCTTTCCTGGACAACATAATCTAATATAAGGGTATCAACATAAAAGCGAAGAGACTGCACAGAATCATCCGTGGAAGGCGATAAAGCACATACCGAGATTCAAGTGAACTACAGCTGCACTCATACTTTTTTAACGGAATCATTTCTTAATTTTAATCCAAAACTTAATTTGAAATGGTTTGACGTTAGGTTTATATTAGGTTTTCAACTTATTTGTTTTTGTAATTAGTAATTTGGTGTTGGTAGTTTACGTTCCGGAACACGATAGTTATGTACATTTAATTAACCATAACACAATTTAGCCACCGCACCGTTCCTGGGTAGTCTGTCAAGCAGTTTTCAAAGTGGTTTGTTTTTCAAGAAACTGATTACTTCTGTACGTGCTAGAGCAGAGGTAAAAGGCGAATGATCGAAAAGGAATTCATGACCGATTACAAAGATAGGGACCTGCATTATTCGGGGAAAAAACCCGGGTTGCCTGATTCACAACGCTCTAAACCTTGAGCTGACCGGACGGCGTTTCATTATTTCTATTAGTCCTACTTGCACTCATAGCATTGTCTGTACATATAATATATATCAACATTTTGTTAAAAAGTTTTACTTACACCAATGCAATTGAAGCTTGGATTAAATAATCAACAAATGAATGGCCACCACTATCAACCTTTACCAAAATGTTTAAAATATGGATCTTTGTTACTTTTTTATTTTATTTTAAAATAAAATGACTAATATAAATTTAGGAAACAATGTGAAAGATATGTGCATAATATATTAAGGTAGACCATGGGTAATGCATTACCTCCACTTTGAAGAGTATTCAAATAGGCTAGAATCGCTTGTAAACTACATTGAAATTGAGGGGCGTGGGTTCAATCCCCAGAAGGGGCAATTTTTTTTCTTTCTTTTTTTCTTTTTAACATTATTTATGTATCTCTCTGATCCCTTATGGAAGAAAAAAGTTTGATTTAAATTATATAATTATTTTAGGTATTTTTTTTGCTAAATAATGCCAAAATTTATAGCAAATATGATACCAGATATTTTCAAAGTTCGATAAAATAAAAACTACACGGTAAAAGTATTTTATATTTCGCATGATCAACTAATATACCTTTGTGAAAATTTAGGCAAACTTTGAAAACAGACCCTCATTTCGATAAATTTTAGGGATATTTTGAATAAGGCATTTTAGATAGGGAAATGGTAAAATTAGTGTTAAAAGTGGGTGGGGTAGGGTAACATTATTATACGTATTAAGAACATTTTGTTTAGAAACAAACATTTTGCTTGTGTAATGTGTTACCTGAATGTTGTTATTTGTTTCTTAACAATGAGCAATAGAGAAACATTTTTTATAATGATGATATTACAGATTATTTACAGTTTCCTCATTTCTGAAAATAAGCCCTTCTAATGGCAAAGTCTTAGTTCAGAAATATATCCATAACTCATAAACCACACGGTAAATTTTATTTAAATTTTGCATACAGGTGACAATGAAGACATATAACTGTCCTATGTTGTCAATTTTACAGTTCCTTATGGTGCCCATTACCCATGGTCTACCTTAAAGTAGAAACACTTATAAGGTTAAATGCAGAAAGTTTTAGATTTATTGTAGCTATAAGAACTTGATCAGATATAACCTTCTGACCGGTCATCTGGCAGTAATAGTTTTTGTGTGCTTTTTAGATAAAAATGACTGTTTCTAACATTACTTTCTAAGAAATCACACTTTTTGTATATTCGTTAATTATCTAGGCATAATATGTTTGAAGGATTTGCCAATATACCTGTATTATAATAACAAGAAACATAGCTACAATCTTCACTCTGATATACACTGATGTAACTACAAAAAGGATTTACCTTGTGTAACCTATTTTGTACACGTTATTTTATGTCCTGACTATATTGTCAATAAGATGCTTCATGTTCATTTTTATAGGCAAATTAAATCTTATAAAGCCTTTATTTTTTTCTCTTCTTTTACTTTTATAATTTAACCCACATTTTTTCCCAAAAAAGAAGAAAAAAAAACAACACAATAAACAACAATAAAACAACTGTCGATATAATGGCTATTAACACTTAATATAATAAGCCATAACTGTTACAGTAGATTAAATTGCATTTACAATATAAGGATAATTTCAACATGGCAATATAATGGTAATGTTATCTTACACTCGGGCTTATCAGTAAGTAATGTGGTCAAGGTTAGTGTATTCCTGCATTCTCTACAGTAAATTGTAGTATTTTCAACTGAAAACAGTATGTTTGTTTAACCATAATAGTCACGTGATTGACTTGTCGAAACAATGTATAGCCTCACAAACATATATAGACACATTTAGTTTAAAAACTTGAATTGTCATTCTTAGACTAGTACAAAACGTAACTTATGAGGAATTTATTCTCTAAGTTACTGAAAAAAACATGAACCGATAACTCCAAATCGAAATTCCATTGGGAAATTATGCGTAATCCTATAAACAGATCAATTCCACATTATTACTCAATGATAATCAAAATAGTGAATTTGAATAACCTTTTTATCCATTTAACCAAATGTCGGGTATATAGATATCAAGTCAAAAAAGTGATAAATTGTATTATATTTATCTGATGTGTATGTGTGTGCGAGCGCGTGTGTGCTATATGTTTTGAAAGCATATTACTAAATTGAAATAGAAAATAATATGCAAAGTATACTAGAAAACAATTGTATATACCCAGACCTCAACAAAGTGGTGGTTATAGTAAATTCTCATTACTGTTCTTCTATGTGCTTAATAGTTTTTCTACTATGAGACATAATCTATACAATTAAATTACATTGTAATATAAATTATTCAATTGTATTAAATAATTGTTAAATTAGTATAAATAAGTTGAAATGCTAATAAAATATTATATTACTGTCATTTATTTAAAATGTGAATATATTATGATGAAACCACGTAATAAGAAAATGACATGTAAGTAAAACTTGGAATGATTTTTTATAAGATATTTTTTTTATTTAAGACCCCTTTTTTTTAAAATTATTGACCGTCTCCTACAAAACTAGATTAAGTTGACAGTTATACATTTTTCAGATAAAATTGTTAAGTATGCTTACTTGTATATATGATGTCGACACCTTTTGTGTGCTTATTCCATGGACAATTCCAGCGTTGTCATTTTTGTCAATGTTATTATCAACCCCAGAGCTACAAAAGCAAGTTGAATTACTCTCAATGAAGAAGAACGATAACATTGCAAGCTGATGACAATGATAACTGCACGAAATCAATGACTGTTTATTTTGGATAATTGTTGTTACACTTTCTTGAGGAATCAAAGATACTTTTTCTATCTCGAATGAAGATGTTACATATTGTTCCAAAGTAAGCACTCCTGAAAAGCAGTAATTAATCGCAAGAAAAATGAGAATCATACTTGATTTAAAACAAACACGTATCTGTTCCTCAAAGGTAGACAAACACTATTTGATGCTCGTAACCGCCAGACACCAAATTATGTATTCGCTTATTATATAATCAATCCCTCCCAACCGTAAATTGCATAATTTTAATGGTAATTTAAAAATAAATAAAGAGTGTTTGAATGTATATACACTATCATTTCCATTTTTCTTTGTTAAAATGCCGTTTTAGTTTTTTAATATATTTTCTATAGTAGACAGATCAAATAATGTTTGTTTTAATGACTTGCAGCAAATGAATATGTTTAGTGAAAAGCAATATAATAAATCAATAACTATAGAAACGTATCTACTAAATGTTAATTATTAATGTGTTTTATGTAATGTAAATTCGAATAAACATGAATTCAACTTGTCTCTTTCTTTACAGTTTGGGAGTGTATTGATAACGTTGTCAAACAATTTGCAATTTGACAAAGGTATATTTTTTCCATGCGAATCAATTGAATAGTCTATTATTCCATTAATCAAGTTTCAAAACTCACATTGAAAACAACTATTTAATGTCAATATTTACTTTCTCGTCGCTTTAAAAGCGCGTAGGTATTGAATTATTATTTTAATTAAGGCTAAAGTATTATCAAATTCCCTTTTTATGAACTAATTGATCGTAAAGATCAATGATGATGAATCAGCAAGGAATAATATTAAAAAAGACACTGTAGATTCATTGTGTCATTTACTTGTTAGAGTTAATTGCTCTACCATGGGCGCCTTTTTATAATACTGTTTTTATTCCAAATATTGATGAGCTCCGTACAAATCTATAATTCGGATATTCTTATAACAATATTGCTTGAAAAATATTGATTAATTTGTAAAATGTTTAGTATGGACATTTTTAAGAATAGTCATAACATTTTGTTCAAACACAAGTTACTACATGCTAAATAAAGGTGATAATATACATTTATACTCAGCCAGTGGCTTGTTATAACGCATAGAAAAAAAACTTTGAAAATCTTTTTTTTACAGACCCGCTATGGACAAGTTCACTTTAACAATGAACAACCCGTTATCTGAACAATAATTGAAAATGAATTGAATTTGGATTGCTGTGTACACATCAATGTAATCTAATTTAGGTTTTTAATAGATGTTTTACAAATGATAGTTAAAATGGGTTAACTTTAATAAAAAAAATAAACCATTTTTATAGGTGTTGTCCTATTTGAACCAAAATTAGTAAATTTGAAATTTCATCATCTATCAGGAAAAAGCTAAAAACAGTGTCAATAACTTATACATTATCTTTTTTTTTCAGTTAAGGGATGTTCTCTTTATCAGACTTGTTTTCAAATTTGTCTTTCTTTTTTAGTTTTACCGAATGCATAGCTTCTAATAGACCAACAAAATATTTCAAGAACATGAAAACATAAAAAAATATTTATTTGATTACAATCAATTTATAAAACACCTTGAACGTTTAATGTACTATGTAATTACTAAACACCAAAACTAACTCTGAAAATTCAGAGCGAATGGAGTATTCCGGAAGCAATCCCAACCGCTATCAATCCCTGATTCAAACTCTCAAAAATATTTCATGAAGAACATAATCAAACGTAAGAATGTGTGTGCTTATATAAATATCGTATCGAACTAACAAGTAAATTCATTTTTTTGAATAATTTTCATCGGTAACGGATAATGTGTTGTTAACCAATTCAGTACTGTTTGATCGATTACTTTGATTACATTTTTATAAAAGTATCTAAAGTGAAAGCTGTCTTATAGTTTGAAATACAAAATATAAGTGAAGTATTTTTGGAAACAATATGAAAAGAATTATGTACAAGGGAAAGCAAAATAAACTAGACGCAGCCCCTCGCTCCTGCCACCAACACAGAACCATTGGGTATTTATACAGCAGGACAGACAACGAACAGAAAGGAATTTCAAAGTAAATCGGCGTACAATGAGAGAGGAAAATAAGAAAAAAGACCACAAACATGGATGGGTGTACAATGAACGAAGTGTTAAAGTAGCACGGCTCGAGATTAATGTCAATTTTCATGAACATTTTAGAAATGTATTTAAAAGTAAAATATTGTGAGGTGAACAAATAAAGTAATTTACATATTACAATCCGGCACTTATAATCCAAGACAATTACCAAAATGTGGTCAACATTTGAAAAACAGCCCTTATTGCGTTAGTAACGGAGTAGAAATATGGTCATAAAATACCGCAATATCAGTTTTAAACCGCACATTACATGAACAATTTAACTTGGATCTTGAATATTATTACCTTTCCTAAAATGGTAGTACATTTTTCTCAATATTGATTTTCTTAAAATATTTTGGCTCATCTAGAGAAGTGCAACTTTAAAATGTTGGCATTTAATTGAAGTTTTGTGTTCCTCACTTTTTATTCGTCCCAGACTCATTAAAAGAGATATAAGTAATGCTATTCGTTTTCCGAGGTTTAAAGTCATGTGTACTTCCTTAACAATGTCCAATCATATTATAGTGCAAGCTGCTTGTTGAGAAAGAAATGATTTCTTTGTTCTATGATCTAAAGAATAGCAAAACATAAAAGAAAATAATGAATTTTTTAAGAAAGGATTTTTAAAATTCCACGAGCGATTTCAGTAATGCATGCTATCTTAATATTTAACACTATCCTAGTTGGTTATGCCTTTCAATGAGCAAAGTCATGAAAACATATCTTAATTGTCCAAGAGATTCTTACATGAACCGTGCAGTAATTAATAAACACAATAGACCTGGTACAAAAAGAAAAAATAGTTTTTAATTTAATAACAAAACGTTCATTCAATGTCAAAATCCGATCTCGAAGATAGTTCCAGGGTATCGTCAGCCAACACATGAAAATTTAAATACGCTTTTATCTTAAAATATACTTCCTTTTGAAAATCATTAAAATTATTCATTTTTATAGGGCAACATATTTGATGTGACAACTTCGCCTCTGCACTCCTGAATGTGAATTGTGCATGTCGCTTATAAATAACTGATTTTTGAATTTCCTTACTAAATGGATATGTGCAGCCTATAAATATGTCAAACATGTCTAATTTGAACAATTACCAGACTCCGATGAATACCTTTTATACCCCTCCGCCACATCAACCCCAGACATACTACAATAACCCAACAAATGTACTACAATCAACACAAAATTCACCACAAAATCAGCACCCATCCCAGACGGGTTTTCAGTCCAATGAAGGTTTCCAGCAGTTTGTGGTAGATCGGCTCACATCAATGGATAATCGCTTAAGCAAACTGGATTCAATCGAACAGCAAATATCTGTCATAACCAGTAAAATGACTTCATTGGATACAAGAGTTACTTTCCTTGAAGCAACGGCCCGTGAGTCGGATTCCAAAATGAATGATATAGAAAAAAGCAAAGCCTTTGACTCACAAATTTGTGATGAACTGCAGAAAAAAAATTCTGAGCTCGAGAAAGCTTTAAAGGAAGAAAGGTCGAGGATAGCCTCACTGAATAAGGATCTTAGCGCCTTAAAATCTGTATCTGAGGATGTCACAGATCTACAATCCAGATCGATGAGAGATAATCTGTTATTTTTTGGGTTTGAGGAGGGCAAAACACCAGACGATAGAAGAACTGAAAATTGTACAAAACTCATATTGGACTTCCTTTCAAACTCTCTTAAGATTCCAGAAGCCCATGTGGCTATCAAAATTGAACGCGCTCATCGCCTCGGATATAAATACGAAATAGGCAAAAGTCGTCCGATTGTGGTGAAATTTAATCATTACCCGGATAAATTACTCGTAAAACAATTGTCACATGAATTTAACCAATCATTTGGAAAAGGAAAATCTGACGAAAATTCCACGGGAGAGAATAATAGTACAAATAACAGTTATCATGTTCAACGTCCGAAAATCCGAGTTAGCGAGCAGTATCCGAAAATCATTCAAGATCGACGAAAAATGCTTATTCCAACATTAATCAAAGCTAAAGAAGATGGGAAAAAGGCATACTTGTCATATGACAAACTTTACATCAATAACAAAATGTTTACTACAGAGAACGTATCAAGTGCAGGTTACAATTAGGGGCGTGACGTCACACAGTTATCCTTTTTGCTATGGAATGTCCAAGGCATCAAATCCAAATTACGAGAGAATGAATTTATAAACTTTATTTCAAATTATGATATCCTATTGTTCAGTGAAACCTGGAACTCTAACATGACAAATATAGATATAAATGGCTACGAATATTTTAATTGTCCTCGTCCAAAGTTTAATAAAAATGCAAAGAGACATAGCGGAGGTGTAATTATTTATTTTTCGAGTTTCGCTAGATAATAAGGGAATTATTTGGTTTAAGTTATCGAAAGATATGTCATGTTCATCTAAAGACTCCTATTTTTGTTTGTGTTATATACCGCCGGAAGATTCAAATGTATACAGAAATATTAATTCTTCCCTACATGACTTTGATTTTTTTGAGAAATTGAACTCGAACATACGGAAATACAGAGACTTCGGAAATGTGTATTTAAATGGTGACCTAAATTCACGCACTGGTGAACTATTGGATTACATACCTGACCTACATTTGCGGCGTTTCGTTAACTTACCTATGAACGATAATCTCGCGTCTATGTTACCTGTGCGTAGAAGTTGTGATAAACAAGTTAATCCATTTGGAGTAAAACTATTAAATATTTGCAAAGAAAATGATTTATGTATATTAAATGGTAGATTGGAAGAGGGTTTTTGTACTTATCATGCATTGTATAGAAATAGACCCGTATCTAGTATGGTCGATTATCTGATTACAGGCTGCGATAATTATAACACAATCAATGAACTGAAAATTTTAGAATTGAACGATTTTTCGGATCATTGTCCGATTAAGTTTTCCATTAATTGTTTTGTTGAAGGCACAGAAATTACTTCTCCTGTATGTGATAAAATTATATGGGATATTTCAAAGACCGACTATTTTCATAATGTTTTACAAAGCAAAACTATCCTGTTTGATGATATAAATGAGAATCTTTTATCTGGTGACTATGATATTAACCAATGTATAAACAATTTTTCTGAGCTTATTCATGATATCTCAGCTCAATGTTTCGGCAAAACTTTTAGAGCAAGTCCGAAGTCACGCAAACGTAAATCACCATGGTTTAATGAGGATTGTAGAAGAACTAAAGCTATTTTTTTAGCTTCGAAACGCTCATTTTTACTTAATATGTCTGATGCAAACAAATTAACCTTTTTGCAAAACAGAAGAATTTATATGAATTGTAAACGGAAAGCAAAATGTAAATTTCATTATACAGAAAAAAATAAATTGTCACAAATGAGTAAATCGTCCCCTAGAAAATTTTGGAAGTATATAAAAAAATTTAAATGTTCAAATTCGAACAACAATGATATAAACTTAAATGATTTTTTGAATTATTTCTCAACTATTTCAAATGAACCCCAAGGTCAGTTTGACCCAGGAGCGTATGATTGTGAGCGTGAAAATGTACATAGTGTAGAATTGTTAGATTGTCCTATAACATGTAATGAAATCAAAAAAACTATTTCATTGTTAAACCGCTATAAAAGCGGCGATTTTGATAATAACGTTGCCGACTTTTTTATAGACGCAAAGAATTTCATTTCTCCATATTTATGTACAATCTTTAACCATATATTTGATAATTGTGTATATCCTGAAGCCTGGATCAAGGGAGTGATTGTCCCTATATATAAAAAGGGGGATAGAGATAATCCCTCAAATTATCGTGGAATCACACTGGTAAATGTTATTGGTAAAATACTTGCTCTGCTATTGAGAAATCGTATTAATAAATGGTGCGAGACCGAGAATATTTTTAATAATACGCAGTTTGGTTTTCGTGATGGTCGCTCTACAGCTGATGCTATATTTCTATTACATACTGTAATTCAAAAAGTTTTATCTAAAAAGTCAAAGTTATATTGCGTTTTTGTTGATTATCAAAGAGCTTTCGATTCGGTAAATAGAGATGCCCTATGGGTTAAACTTATTCAAGCAGGTGTCAGCTGTAAAATGACAAATATGATTAAACTTATCTATAATAATGTACAATCATGTGTAAAAATATCAAATACTATGGAGTTATCTAACTTTTTTGATGTTACAATAGGATTAAAGCAAGGCGATCCATTATCTCCCCTGTTATTTACATTATTTATCAATGATATTGCTGAGAATTTGAACTTTGATACTATGACAGATAAGGATCTAGAACTTTTATCAATGTATTTAATTTTGTTTGCTGATGATATAGTTTTATTCACTACTGATCCAACAAGCTTGCAATCTCAAATAGACCAGATATATAACTATTCTGAAAAATGGGGTCTCAAAATTAATGTTAATAAAACAAAAGTTTGTGTTTTTGAAAAACGTAAACAAGTCAGGGGAAATGAGTTTTTTATAAATGGAGAGAAAATTGAATATGTTGATAACTTTACTTATTTAGGTGTCCGATTTACATATACTGGTAATATGTCTGGTGCAGTAAAAGCATTAAACGATCAAGCTCTGAGAGCCTACAACAATTTATTGTCTTTATTCGATAATATTAGTCTAGACATTAAAACAAAACTTAAACTTTTTGATTCCATGATAGCACCAATTTTATTATATGGGTCAGAGGTATGGGGTCTGTACAATTTTAAAGATGTGGACAAACTACACTTACGTTTCTGTAAATATATCTTAGGTGTTAAAAAACAAACTCCAACATCTGCCGTTTATGGTGAACTTGGCAGAATCCCATTATCAGTCATTTGTAAAGAAAGGTCTATAAAATTTTGGTTAAAGTTTATGAAAACTCCCGACTCCCCTATGTATATGTTATATAGAGACCTATGTAATAATGTAAACACAAATTGTTGGGCTTCTAAACTCCATTCAATTATTGATCATATAGGTCTTACAAATATTCGCTTAAATTACGACTGTAATGCAAATTATTTAAGTTTATTTAAAAGTAGGATTCGGGACCAGTTTATTCAAGATTGGAATCATACAATTAATACTTCACCGAAATTACACTATTATTGTAAGTTTAAACAATTTTTTGAGTTTGAAGATTATTTAATTTCAATTAGCAATGAGACTACAAGAAAATCTCTTACTCGCTTTAGACTTAGTTCACATAATTTGGAAATTGAACAAGGGAGTTTTAATGGGATTGATAGACAGAATAGATTATGTAAATTATGTAATCAAAATGTTATTGAATCTGAGTATCATTTTTTGCTATGTTGTAATAAATATGATGATTTAAGAAGACAATACTTGGGAAATATCCCATGGCCAAATGTTCATAAATTCAAACAGCTAATGTCAACAAAAAATAAATTTAAACTTTTTAAAATAGCGAAATTTATAGATGAGTCAATGAAATGCCGAAACAATTATTTAGAATTTCTCACGGCTTCTTAACGAATTCTTAAATCATTGTCTCTTAAGTATAAAATTGATTGATTATTAACTTGTATTTTTTCTGTACATTTGTTTGATTATATCAGTGTAAAATGTAAACATGTTTATAGTTTTATTGCTGTTAAATGTCTTTGCCATATAATGTATGTGTGTAAATGGCCAAAGACAATGTTCATTGTCGATTTGCAAATAAACTTGAAATACTAAACTGAATATCATTTAATTTACTAAACACTTAAAAATATCGCTTTGTTTTTCACATCAAAAGAAATGACAAGTCTACTTACTTATTCAATAGAATTTGGTCTATTGAATCAAAATATGTTTGCTGACATTGATTATCTATTTTAAACTGGAACAAATATTTATCAAGGCACTTAAGAATACTAACCGGAAAACCAATTAGAAATTATATTTGGAAGTAACATGTTAACAACAAGTATTTAATGCTTTGACTGTTTGGAGGATATCGTCAGCCAAAACATGAACATTTTAAAAACTAATTTATCTTCATATGTACCTCGTTTTGAACAGCATAAAATCATTTTTTCATACGGCAACATACTTGATGTGACAACTTCGTCTCTGCACATAATATACCATCTCTATAATGTGGTGGATTGTGCATGTCGCTTATAAATAACTGTTTTCTTTAGGGTTTTCCGGAATAAATCGAATGTAATTATCAAACACTTAAAATATCGCTTTGTTTTTCACATCAAAAGAAATGACAAGGCTACTTTCTTATTTAATTGTTATTTGGTCTATTGCATTAACAGTTGTCTGCAAACATTGATTATCATTTGGAAGGCAGTGTAAGTGATTTATTTCATGGATATTCTAGACAAGAATAAATATTTTTATAATATTATGTTATTGACACATGTGCGATACATGATCCGATATTTCAAAAACAATCTATAAAGCAGATAATAAATTGTTTTAGAACAAAATAAAAAAATATTCATCCAATGAATTTTCATACTTAGCCACTCAGAACTTTGTCTTCATTATTTTCAAGCATTGATTCATTATTAATTCCAATTTATACTTTTGTAATGGTTTTTATCAATATAAATTATGACATTATTATGCATTCTTTTTTAATATCTGATCTCGAAATTACATATTTCACTCCAAATATTTTAACTTTTATTTATCCTAAAAGTTATAAAGTATTACTTATATCCATTATATAAATAAAAAAACAAATTAAAATGAACTATAAATTGAAAAATCTATTTTCTGCCGTAAATAAAATTTACACAGATCAAACGCTTACAGTTGATTAACATGAATCCATGCAATCAAATCAATCAGTTTACGAGTGCTGTTCTACTTATTCCTGATAAGAATATAAACATTTTCGCTTCGTTCATGAAAAACAAAATGACAGAAACTATGAATTTTAAAACGAATTCCTAATGTTTGCCATTTTCTTAAAGTGTCCGCTACATTAAAAAAAAATTGTCGAACAACCGTATCGAATGAAAATCAAACTTTCATTTTTGCTAATTTCCTGAATGGATATGGTATCGGACTGTCAGAATATCTTTGTTATTTGAAAAATGCATGTTAACAATTAAAAGATGTGCAAGTTTAAACAACACAT